GCGGCGGGGAGCCGGGCCACCTGTGTGTGCAGGCGCTGGACCCGGGAGGTGCGTGTACATGAGGCGGTTAAGTTACTGTGCTGCGTAGGCCGCCGTCAGCACAGACCACCCTGTGGTCGCCAGAGGCCTGGTGTTTTAAGCCATAGTCACCCTCCCGTGAAGATGCGTGTGGGTCGATGGAGGACGAGTGTCACACCGCTGGAAATGGCGCTGCGTTAGCCGTATGGGGATCTACAGCAGCGCCACTGTCCTGAGCCCTTGGCTGTTAACCACAAGATCCATGGGTGCGGAGCGAAATCCTTCTCTCAGGACAGCCGGAGAATCGCTTTGCCTGCAGCTCAGTGGGAACACGCCCCCTAGTAAGGCTTCTCCTCCCCAAAGCTTTTATGGCCCCACTGGCGAATCTGAATGCCAGACCCTCGCGCCAAGTCCGGGTGGGGTTAAATCTGGCAGGGGGGGAGGCTCTGGACTTTCCTTGCTGAACAGTCTCCCTCCCGTTCGGGACAAGCGGAGAGTTTGAACCAGGAGTGGGGAAACGACAGCTCGTGGGCCGCCCGCAGTGCAAGAGGGCTTTTAATCTGGCTTTTAGGGTTACCTCTCTGGCAGCCGGGACATCGCTGTGGTCCCTGAGCGCTGCATGCTGCCCTCACCAGCAGGTGCCAACCCTGCAGCTCCCATTGGCCAGGAATTACAGTGCAGATACCACCGTACTACCCCACCTAGAAGCCACTGTCAGAGGGGTATGCTGGTTGTTTTCAGGAGCCACCCCTGCCTCAGCCTTGCTCTGCTCCCACCCACGAGCCGCCCAGTGTAAGGGGTGCCCAGATAGAGGCCTGATTCCGCTCCCCAACCCTCTGCCCTGAGCCCCCCTCCCACACGCTAACCCTCCCCAGTCCTACAGTCATGGCCTGCCATGTAATTTCCCTCCCCAGACGTGGCCTGTGGGCCAAGCAGTTTGCCCATCCCCGCTTTAAGCCGATGCCCAGAGAGCCTTTGGGGAGGAGAAGGGCAGCTGGGCACAGATTGTTAAGAGAATTTATTTTAAAGGGCAGATTTTCTTCCTGACGCGGGAGGCTTGTCGTACTGCCAGATGCCCAAAGGAGGGCAGTGTTGGCTTTCTTGCTCCCTGACTTTGCAGCATGAGCTGGCTAACAATAAGGGCATCTGGCAGCCCGTGGCTCCTACCCAAACCCAGAATCACGGGCTGCTGTTTAACTTGGTTTGGGCAAGCCAAGAACATCGGTCTCCGGGGCAGGGCGGGAGGTACCTTGTTCCAGCCCCTCCTCCACTCTCTGCATCCTGGAAGGACAGCCCTGGACTGCGAACAGCCTGTGTTTTCCTGCCCTCGGCTGACCGGTGGTTGGCCTCTCCAGCCTTCTGGCCTGGTATCCCTCACCCCATTTTTGCCTGCCAGAACCTGAAGCTTTGTGTTTAGAATCAACGCTGGTTTGTAGCTGCCACAAAGCTGTTTTCCTGGTATATTCTCTGCACCTGCCGCTGCCCTTGACTTCCAAGGAAATTGTGGCTGTCGAGCGCTTCTGAGCATCCGCCCCTCGGTGCCCCTTTTCTCCAGGGCAGGGTCAGCAGGGGGGTGGTATCCCTGGCCAACGTGGCATTGAGAGAATCCTGTATCACGGGACTCCTTGCCATTTAAAATCTCACCCTGTACGTGTATCGACTTCTTACCTGCAGTATTCAATTTTAAAAATTCTTAACAGGTTCCCTGCTGGGTTTGCAGGGGCCAGAAGATGAAATTCACAGCTTCAAAACGTTTATGAATAAACCTTTCTCTTCCTGCCTCTGGTGCCTGTGTTTTCATACGAACTGAAATCTAACGCGCGCTCACTTTCTCCCAAGCCCGTAAACAATCTGCCTTGAGAGCGAGTTCTGCCAAAGATCACCGTTGCCTATGCAGCCGTGCTCTGTTACTTGCGCATGGTCCACGGAGTCTAAGGGTAAGACCTTGGGGACCAGTGGAAGATTTGCCTCTAGCAGGCCAGGATTTCGCCCCAGGCGTGCAGCTATGCCAGCTACCTTGAGTGGGAAACAGTTCAACTCTCTTTCTTCCCTAAAATAATCCAGGGATCGGGATCGATCAGCTGTTCCCCAACAGTGACACCTTGGGAGGTCATGCTCCGTCACTGTTTGTGGCTAGCAGGAACACTGCCCCTCCCCCCCACCACCACCACCACTCCATGTACAGTAGAGTCCCTATCATCCGACCTAAACGGGACCGACAGGTAGTCAGATTACCAAAAATGTCGGATGATAGGGACTCTACTGTAGCTGGGGCCACTTGGTCCCCACCCCTGCCTGGCCCTGGCGCCTTCCCTCCCTGCAGCTCCCGGGTGCCCGGCCCCGCTCGCTGCCCCGTCGCTCTCCTGGCGCCGCTGCCATGTACAGTAGAGTCCCTATCATCCGACCTAAACGGGACCGACAGGTAGTCAGATTACCAAAAATGTCGGATGATAGGGACTCTACTGTAGCTGGGGCCACTTGGTCCCCACCCCTGCCTGGCCCTGGCGCCTTCCCTCCCTGCAGCTCCCGGGTGCCCGGCCCCGCTCGCTGCCCCGTCGCTCTCCTGGCGCCGCTGGCTGCCCTGGAGCCGCTGATGCTGCTCCTGCCAGCACCGCTTTGTCCCCGGGAGCTGCAGGGTCGGATAAAGCGGAATGTCGGATTACCAAAGGTCGGATAATCCGGACTCTAGTGTAGTAATCATTTGTGAATGCTTCGGTGACACGAGCATTTTAGTCCACCCTTGCGACGGGATGAGCGTGGCCCTGCTGGATGCTGCGGTGGCATCTGCCCACCCCATCACAGGAATAGAACTGTCCCAGAGTTCGGTCGCCGCATGCCCCTTACTTCAGGGGCAGCAAGGCTTAATGGCCGGAGTCGAAGATTTTGGTAACTGGTGATTGATTCTTTAAAGGATTTGAAACCACGGACAGAGGGATGCTTCCTTTTAGGGTTAACCAAAGACTTTATTTTTATTTGCTTTTATAATTAATTTTTCATTTAAATCAATTGACTATCTTTAATTCTTTTAAGACAGCGTAACATACAACTAGTGGAAAAAACAGTACAACTAAGATGAGAACAATAACCCCTCCTGCAGTTATATCCTCCAAAGTTACAGCCGCTCCCCGAGTTATGAACAAGTTACAGACCAACACTTGGTCCGTAACTCGAAGTGTTCGTAACTCGGATCCCATAGAGTTACATGGCGACCGCGCTGTTCGTAAGCACGGATCGCTGTTCGTAACTCGGATCCATATTTACGAACGCTTTGGTCGTAAGTGCGGATGGTCGTAACTCGGGGAGCAGCTGTACCTTTGAACAGTTTGTGGAGTTATCAGACATACCTACATAATACTTACATTAAGCTGGATAGAAGCATTGTTTAGAATCAGGAGATATTCTTATGTTTTTCCTTTCGGATTTTTCGTTGCAACTTACGACCAGTGTTCCCCTTTCGGAGCTTACGAGCAGCAGTGAGTTTCAGCGCCTGGGAGGGAGCCCTGGTGGATCAGACCTGGCTTTTTCGGATTCGCAACCTGTCCATTTTTGGTCTGTTTAGTTCAACCTTATATACCCTGTTTCAGTATTTTTCCTCTTGCCTGGCTATGCTGACGTTAGTTTTTGTTGTCTTATGCTGCTTTTTTAGGAGCTGGGTTGGGGATTTTTTAAAACTTTTGTCTACTTTTATTTCCCTAAAAGTGGGGTTATCAGTACTTTGCTGCTTTTTCAGTTTTCGTCTACTTTTACTTCCCTAAAAGAGGATTATTGTTGCTTATCCAATCAAATGTTGGGTTTTTGCTTACATCTCCTGTATCTTGACAATGCTGCCTTCCTTTTACTTTCCTAGCTAAATTAGTGCTCGTTTGACATATACCGGGTGGGCCTTAACACATCCTTTTCACAGAAGAGTGCCCCTGGTTGCGGGGCAGTAGGGCCCAATGGCCAGAGTCAAAGAGGTGGGGGTTTTGCCCTTGGTAGGGGGACCCGGGTCCCGACTCTGGGCTCTATGAGTGGGGGCGCCGGCCAAAACATGCTGAGGATACCTGGGTGGGAGTATTGGCTCCTGCACCCTCCCTGGGTTGCTTCCTACCGGTCCCATTGAGGCATCATCCCACATAGCTACTGGGTCTCCCAATTCCCCAGCAGTTGCTTCTCCCCGGGTCTCTGTAGGAGGATGAGCAATCGCTGCTTTCGGGCCCTTCAGCTCCTTCTATCTGGACTGCAGGCTGTAACCACACTGGAGCTCCATCTAGACTAGAGAACCTTCCCCTTCGCTGGCCAGCCTGGGTGAAGCTGCTCCCTGGCCTTTTATACTGCCCCAGCACTTGGAGCATGCCCAGTCGGGTTGGAGGGGCGGGACTTCCTCCGCCCACAGGGTTTTCACCCCTCCCAATCTAGTGCGGAGTATGCCCGCCCCATCACAGAGAGAATGTGGTGACATCAACCCATGCCCACAGCATGGCGCTCTGTCCACGTGCGTGCGGCTTGCACAGTCATGCACAACTGCATCGATGGCTCTGCACTATTGGTGATGTTAGGAGGTTGCCCTGATCAGGAAGGTGGGAGGAAAGGAGGACCTGATGGACTTCCTGATGAGGAACGTGGGAGGACTTCCCTGGTGGCGGGGGTGGAAATACTTTGTACATTTCTATGCTCTGCCATTCGCAGATCTCAATGTGCTTTACACACAATAATACCAAACTAACCCCCGCCCCCTCACACCATGGTCATGGATGAGCATCCTTAGAGACTGGACGAAGTAACTTTCCCAGTGTCTCCCAATGAATCAGTTGCAGGTCTAGGAATTCTGCCCAGATCAACCACTCCTGGAGTTTAATTTCGTGGCCTTTTCCCCCTCATCTGATTGGCCTCGTTTGTAACCCGTTAGCGACAGGGGGGTAAAAAGCCCCTGTGTCTTAGTTGCAAAGTGT